CTACCAAACAAGGTGTTGGAAATAGATCGGTCACCTTGCTTTGTGTAGCCACAAGCAAGTTAAGTCACCAACGCCATTTTCGAGTTTCTACCTCCAACATAAAGAAATCTGAGACACCATTCCTGAACAAACCTAATTTAGTATGGCTGGTAATCAATGAGTTCCCCCTGCTGTACAACGACCACACTGCATGAAAAGAAGACACCAAAAACTTCCATCACACATCTTTAATAAAATATAAAAACATTCAGTGGAATATTACAGTTTAAATGTTCATGTTACCATCACAAATGTTCGTATTATAGGTCGATGTTTTATGCAGACATGAGCAGGAAGTGAAGCTCTGAGCTGCACGTGCTGATTGCTTGGGCAGCACATGATGTGGGTTTTATAGACAATTTTAATCTCGGGTCGTTTTGTAACAGTGACGGTGTTCACACAAACATTATGGGCTCACAGACTTTACGTATAACAGGTGCTCTTTAAATAACGCTGAGATGAGTTGCGGCTCGTGGGTCAGGGTGAGAGAAGACGTGGTCTCAGATGTGAATATTAAATATAGAAAGACACTGAAACAAACTGTGCACAATGTTATTTGACTTGTGATATCTTCACATCCTTATACAGAAGAAGAACGAACATCTGTTGAACATTCACTAACATGTGAATTAAATATCTGAAACATGTCAAACAGGAAGGGCTGCCATTTTCTTTGATCTGTTCATTTCAAAACATGTCTATGGATTGGATTCTTTTAGCTGATTAAAAATGTTTTCATTGGTTTGCACAACATGCACTGAATATAAGTGGATCATCATTACATGTAATGAACAAGGTGCACTATAACACATGGAAGACAGCAGCTGAGTAGCTGAATGAAGCATTATGGGATGCTCTTCATTTCTGGCAACCAAACAAGACTTTGGAGAAAATGTCTGTCTTTGTAGTTCATTCCGTCGTATCCTTTATTTCAGTATCTCCATCTCAATTTGAGTGCACATGAGGTGCTGTTGTTTAGCTGTGGGTTTACCTCGGAGTTTCCCACAGTGGAGCCGTCCCAGCAGCACCAGCAGCACCAGTAGCAAAGCCATCATTACTACAGGGAGAACATTTCTGAAGATGATGAATGGAAGCTCTGAGGACTCATGAATCTCTTGGTGTGACTCTGCAAAGAAGACAGAAATAGAAATAATGCACGCCTTCTCGTGGTGTAAAGTTCTAGCACAATTCTCTTGAATCATTGCCAATATGAGACCACAGATTCACCGGGTAACCTACAAAGGGATGAAGAGGATCTGAGCCAAAAATTAGCCTTCCGCTATCTTGGGTACATGAATAAATTCATATTTTATTTTCGTGTCAGGTCATTTATAAGACCCATCCCACATGGAAGTACATTTACATCCCTCTGTATGATGATTAATGTACGCTGTCCTTTTCAAATCAATCAATATACTGTTTCAACACATAGTTATATCACATGTATTTTTAAATTTGATTTGGTAACACTGATGTGTCTCACCTTGGACAGCCATCAGACTCTCGGCTGATTCTCTTCCTCCAGAGATACACTTGTAGAATCCTTCATCACGTTTGGAAACACTGGGGATGCTCAGGTTTCCTGTAGAGCTTCTTCTGATAAGGTGGCCATCTTTGTAGAAATCAGCTGAGAGATTGGTTGAGGTCGTCTTGTGTCTGCAGCACAGAGCCACAGTCTCTCCCTCCACCACACTGATGGGACTCTCCAGGATCACAGGACCATCTAAACAACATGGGGTTCATATTTTATATCAAACAAAGATGAGTGCATGTAAATATCTCGTCTTAATGCAAACATACCAGTAACATTGATATGGATGATGTCGCTTCTCTTCCCATCTCTGGACTCACACCAGTATTGCCCACTGTCCTCTGGAAAAATATTAGGAATAGTGCAGGATGACCTTTTTGATGTCACTGTAGTGTTACATTTGAGTAATTCCCCTTTGGACCGATGTACAATTTTCAATCCAGTCGAGTCATGAGAGCCCTCACAATGGAAGATCAGAGACTCGTATTTACAGAACTGCAGTCTGTTTGGTTCAAGACGAAGAATCAGTGAATCTGAAACAAACCAAAGAAATACATGTTCTCTTATTTCATACAAAATACAAAAATGAAGCATTTGAACAACAACATTGAGAAACTTAACGGTACAGACCCACATCTTGAACATGTGCACCCAACAGGAATAACACACAGATCACTGGAAAGAAGAAGAGTTGTACGTTAGATCTCATAAAAACAGGTACAGAAATATCTATGAAACAGATAAAGAATTATACTCACACAGCCTGAGGTTAAGAGCACAGACCTCCATGTTTACTCTCTGAACATATGACTGAAGTGTCCACGAGGTGAGGATTTTTGCTTCTAATGCGATACATGGTTTGTGGTTAGGGTTGAAAATATTTCCCCACAGACCCCTCCTTATGTGTCGCCTCCGCCTCTTCTGGCTGAGAACGCCAGCACCATTTTCAAATTTTTATCAGACCAGAATAATTAAACTCTGATGATGCAAACATCCAAAAAAGAACTTATTACGTGAATGGTTGGTTATAACCACCTTTTTAATTTATAACTGTATTTGACGAATATCTGCTGTGAAAAAACAAAACAAGAACAAAGCAAGACCACTGAACATTTTTAAACCAGGAAGTGGCGTTATTGTTTCATTCAATACAGTTAACAGACATAGAACAGGGCGTCATCTGCATATTGATGAATAATGAATCACACATTAGAGGTAGCAGGATTTAGGAAAGTTTTAACAAATAGGATTCAAACCTAAGCCTCGTAGAACCTAGAATAACAGGATAGCAAGAGGTCAGAAAGGTTAACGCAAAGAATTCCTTCCATTTAATCAAATTAGTGAAATACTTTAGAAAATGTGCTAAATAAGGTGAAACGTTTCAAGCTTAAACAAGGAGGCTATAGCTGTAGCTTAGACTAAATGGTGCCTGATGCTCAAGTGTTCTAGTAAGTATTTTGGCAACACTGTGGAATAATTCAATCTACATTCAAAACAGAGCAAGGAGTATCCAGAGTAATGATGGCGACTGTTCGCTCAGCTTGTACCAACCGACCTTTGACACAGGAACCCCTCTATTCTTTGATCAAGTAGGTAAGACTCAGGACATTACTGACATTCATATCTGGTAGGATGGACAGCAGAGGTTAGAACATGACCCATATTTACAGCTTTCAAACGTCTATGTCACTGGACGTTGATGTTCAACCAAAGCACCGCTTAAGGCAGCATTTCCTACATGCTTCGGTTCAAACTTTAGCTGTCATGCTTCTCAGAATGATACGACCCGTGTTTTTTTATATCAATGTGGTATGCTCAGAACTGTTAACCCTTTCTGTCTTCAGGTCGCAGTGTGATGGCTGACTGAAGGACGAGCAGCACATGAGACATTTGGTTTAACCTTATTTGTGAAAAAGCACTTTTTATTTTACTTTGCATTGTAGAAATGGTTTTCATGCTTTGCGCCCTACATGTGTTGATGTTTAAAGATGTATTAAAGAGATGTGGTTTGTATTTTCAGATGTATTATCTGTTATTATTTAGTGACAGTTAAACCCACATGTTCCATCTGCTGTGTGTATTTACGTGAGTGTGAAACTGTGGTCAACCACCACCTTGATGCTGCAGCTTCACTTTCATCTGAAGCACGCTGACCGAGTCCAAATAAAAAAATGAGTCCGACACTTTAAGTCTAATGTGGTTGTAAATGTCATACATGAGAAGACAGAAAATAACTGTGCCATTAAAGAAGTGTACTGGTGTTTATTCTTTCATGCAAACAGTATTTTCTCAGGGTCTTCTTATCAGCAATCCCGATTCATATTCAACATGTTCAACAAAAACCAGTAGGACTTGGAAAACGCTGAAAGTCGTCCATATTGTTGCTGTAAAACTGTGTGGACGGTTCTATTGCAGTTTGTTTCAGGCTCACAGCAGCAACACCTGACCATCAAATGAGTAAAGTGACCGAAGGATGAGGGCTTACAGTTTCAGCCTGCAGGTGTGTCTGCAGATATGTTGTGTTTATATTTTTAACAGCTGACCTTTTTATTTCAAACTGCCTGACTTTACGTGTTTGTATCAATGTTTTCACATCATAGCAGTCCGCTTCGTTCTTTGGCTTCGCCCAATGACGCTAATCTATCAACTGAGGTGTTACCACCACCACAGCAGCTCAGTTAGTGTGAACTTCGTTTTGAAAAAAATCTAAGTGTCAAACTTAGGGGAACATGAGCAGCATAAATAGGCTACACAGGAAGAAGCCCCTCCTCCGTTACAGTTCAGTTCAGCTTGGTGTTCAGACAGTCAACATGGAGGTCGCCGTGCTCTGCATCAAACTCTGTGAGTACGATTGGTTAAAACTAAAGAGTCTATTCTATAAGAATCAGTTGAATATACGACTGTTAAAACACGTCTCACTCAATGTGGAGCTCTTCTCTTTTGTTATTCCAGTGGTCCACGTGTTATTTCTGCTGTGTGCACATGTTCAGGACGTTGGTAAGTACCAGGTTGATGCTGAGTTGTATTTTTACTTCAGTTGGTACTTTCTGGTGAAATAAGAGAACATGTCTTTCTTTGGTTTGTTTCAGATTCACTGATTCTCCATCTTGAACCAAACAGACTGCAGTTCTTTGAATACGAGTCTCTGATCTTCCATTGTGAGGGCTCTCATGACTCGACTGGATTGAAAATTGTACATCGGTCCAAAGGGGAATTACTCAGATGTAAAACTACAGTGACATCAAAAAGGTCATCCTGCACTATTCCTAATATTTTTCCACAGGACAGTGGGCAATACTGGTGTGAGTCTAGAGATGGGAAGAGAAGTGACATCATCCATATCACTGTTACTGGTATGTTTGTATTAAGACGAGATCTTTACATGCACTCATCTTTGTGTGATATAAAATATAAACCTCATGTTGTTCAGCTGGTGATGTGATCCTGGAGAGTCCCATCAGTGTCGTGGAGGGAGAGGCTGTGACTCTGTGCTGCAGACACAAGACGACCTCAACCAATCTCTCAGCTGATTTCTACAAAGATGGCCGTCTCATCAGAACAAGCTCTACAGGAAACCTGAGCATCCCCAGTGTTTCCAAACGTGATGAAGGATTCTACAAGTGTATCTCTGGAGGAAGAGAATCAGCCGAGAGTCTGATGGCTGTCCAAGGTGAGACACATCAGTGTTACCAAATCAAATTGAAAAGTATGTGTGATATAACAGTATATTGATTGATTTGAAAAGGACAGTGCACATTAATCAACATACAGACGGATGTAAATGTACTTCCATGTGAGATGGGTCTTATAAATGACCTGACACAAAAATAAAATATGAATTTATTGATGTACCCAAGTTAGCCAAAGGCTAATTTTTGGCTCACATCCTCTTCATCCCTTTGTAGTTTACCCAGTGAATCTGTGGTCTCATATTGACAATGATTCAAGAGAATTATGCTCGAACTTTACATCACTGTTACTGGTATGTTTGCATTAAGACGAGATCTTTACATGCACTCATCTTTCTGTGATATAAAATATGAACCCCATGTTGTTCAGTTGATCCTGTGATCCTGGAGAGTCCCATCAGTGTGGTGGAGGGAGAGGCTGTGACTCTGCGCTGCAGACGCAAGACGACCTCATCCAATCTCTCAGCTGATTTCTACAAAGATGGCCACCTTATCAGAAGAAGCTCTACAGGAAACATGAGCATCCCCAGTGTTTCCAAACATGATGAAGGATTCTACAAGTGTATCTCTGGAGGAAGAGAATCAGCCGAGAGTCTGATGGCTGTCCAAGGTGAGACACATCAGTGTTACCAAATCAAATTGAAAAATACGTGTGATATAACTATGTGTTGAAACAGTATATTGATTGATTTGAAAAGGACAGTGCACATTAATCAACATACAGACGGATGTAAATGTACTTCCATGTGAGATGGGTCTTATAAATGACCTGACACAAAAATAAAATAATAATTTATTCATGTACCCAAGTTAGCCAAATGCTAATTTTTGGCTCACATCCTCTTCATCCCTTTGTAGGTTACCCAGTGAATCTGTGGTCTCATATTGACAATGATTTAAGAGTTTTAACAAACTTGAATTGTGCACGATTAAACTGCATACTTTACATTAATAGCAAAAGTTGAAACGTTCAGATTTAAAATCTTCATTTTTTTTCTAATCTTTCAATCCATCCAAAACTAAAATCCTCTGTCATTGTTTCTCTTAATACTTTGTAATTATATTCCAGAAATCCAGGGAGAGAATGTCTCATCCTGTTCTACCCCTTGGATAGTTATGACTGTTTTATCGATTCTGTTGTTGCTGGTTGGACTTCTTCATTTCGGCAAATACATTCGGAACAAAGGTACAAACACATTACACTAACAAGAGGCGCTTACAGCGATTGATGGGTCACAGTCCCCGTGGAATATTTGCATTTTACGTTTGTTTAATTTATTTAATGGATGAATGGGCCAGTTAATAACAGTGGGGTCTTGAACACAGCCTATGGATTCTAAAGACCCTGACACACCAAGGAGATCGTCGGCCGTCAGTCCTAGTTGCAAATTGCACATTTTTAAACCAGGAAGTGGCGTTATTCTTTCATCATGTCTCAATGTCTTCCTGGTTTCCTGTTCATAGTGTTTTTTTTCATTTCATGCACTGCAGTGTTGCTGTACTTGTCCACACTGGCACCTCAATCAGGCACAGCTGAGGTTCAAACAGGTAAGAACAGGTACCATGAGCATGTTCAGGTAAACTTGCACTTAAAACAAAGGAGTGATAGATTTTTTAAAAAGCAGCCTGCTCGTTTTATCGACGATAATCAGAGCAAATGTCCTTTGAAGTGTGAAAAGGGAAATCTATTGTCCTTTAGTCCTCATTAGAAAAAGACAATTTATTTAATCACATTAATTTAAAACTCATGTTCTTTGGAGAAAGAGAAAATGCTTAGTTTGTGGATATGATTGCTCGACTTGGAAATTGACATAGATTTTTAATGCCTGTGTACTTTATTGATGTGGATTCTTATCACACATTTGTATTTTCAGTCACTGTTGAGGCCCGTCGAGTGGCAGCAGATGCACCAAGTGACCAAGCGATGTATGCTGCGATTACCAAAGACAGAAAAAAGAGAGGTACCTCACTTGACAGTTTATCCTGTCACAGTTCATTTCACAGTCACGGTTCTCCATCCTATGTCTTGATCTTAAACTCCTTTCTTCTTGAAAGAGAAAATGTCCAGTTTGTGGATATAATTGTTCGACTTTGAAATCTTTATATATTTTGAATGCCTGTGTAATGTATCGTTGTGGATTCTTATCACACATTTGTATTTTCAGTCACTGTTGAGGCCCCTCGAGTGGCAGCAGATGCACCAAGCGACCAAGCGATGTATGCTGCGATTACAAAAGACAGGACAAAGAGAGGTACCTCACCTGACAGTTTATCCTGTCACGGTTCATTTCACATTCACGATTCTCCATCCTATGTCTTGATCTGAAACACCTTTCTTCTTGAACCTGGGGTAGTTTAACAACATTAAATGACTACTTCATGAGTCTGTATCTCAAGGCCATGAAATGGACAGAAATATTTTTTTCATATCCTTTATTAATCCCTGAGGGAAATACAACATACATAAAAAACATACATGGTCTAAAATGATGTCTAAGACTTTAGGTAGGGTTGTTTGATCTTTTTAAATATAATGGTAAAGTTCTTCACTGAGAAATAAAAACAGCTTATTTCTATATGAGATTTAAAGTAGTCATCAAGGTGAATTCCCCTGCAGACATATTCTCTGATAAAGTCTACAGAGAAGTGAAAAGTACACTACTGATTCAAACACTGAGAATATGCATAACATAGCACTTTTTAAACTACAAATAAAGTTATTATTATTGATTAGTGTAACTTGAAAAGTCAATTATCCAAGCTTGGATTTAATGTCTAATGGTTTAATACAGTTAACAGACATAGAACAGGGCATCATCTGCATATTGATGAATAATAAGTCACACGCGAGAGGTAGCAGGATTGAGGAAAGTTTTAACAAATAGGATTCAAACCTTAGCCTCGTAGAACCCAAAATAACAGAATAGCAAAAGATCAGAAAGGTTAAAGCAAAGAATTCCTTTCATTTCATCAAAATCAAATCAAAAATGTGTTAAATAAGGTGAAACGTTTCAAGCTTAAACAAGGAGGCTATAACCGTAGCTTAGAATAAACTCCACTTTGGGTGACCCAAGTGACCCTCAAGAAATTGGTTTAGACTTATTGTAATAAAAACGTAAACTAAATGGTGCCTGATGTTCAAGTGTTCTAGTAAGTATTTTGGTGACACTGTGGGATAATTCAATCTATACTCAAAACAGAGCAAGGAGTATCCAGAATCATGACGGCGACAGTTCACTCAGCTGGTACCAACCGACCTTTGACACAGGAACCCCTCTATTCTTTGATCCAGTAGGTAAGACTCAGGACATTACTGACATTCATATCTGGTAGGATGGACAGCAGAACTTCGAACATGACCCATATTTACAGCTTTCAAACGTCTATGTCACTGGACGTTGATGTTCAACCAAAGCACCACTTGAGGCAGCATTTCCTACATGCTTCGGTTCAAACTTTTGCTGTCATGCGTCTCAGAATGATACGACCCATGTTTTTTTACATTAACTGTGGTATGCTCAGAACTGTTAACCCTTTCTGTCTTCAGGTCGCAGTGTGACTGCTGAATGAAGGACGAGCAGCACATGAGACGTTTGGTTGAACCTGATCTGTGAAAAAACACTTTTTATTTTATTTTGCATTGTAGAAATGGTTTTCATGCTTTGCGCCCTACATGTGTTGATGTTTAAAGATATATTAAAGGCTTGTATTTTCAGATGTATTATCTGTTATTATTTAGTGACAGTTAAACCCACATGTTCCATCTGCTGTGTGTATTTACGTGAGTGTGAAACTGTGGTCAACCACCACCTTGATGCTGCAGCTTCACTTTCATCTGAAGCACGCTGGCCGAGTCCAAATAAAAAAATGAGTCTGACACTTTAAGTCTAATGTGGTTGTAAATGTCATACATGAGAAGACAGAAAATAACTGTGCCATTAAAGAAGTGTACTGGTGTTTATTCTTTCATGCAAACAGTATTTTCTCAGGGTCTTCTTATCAGCAACCCCGATTCATATTCAACATGTTCAACAAAAATGTCTTTTTGAGTGGACAGTAACGGTAGTAGCTCTCAAATGCTTTGAGCTAAATGCTATTACAATGCAAGCTAATGTGTTCAAAATCACCATGCTAACATGCTAATGCTAATTAGATCAAATATTTCACTCTTTCTACGAAAAGATGAGTTTCACCATCTGGGGACTGAATGTCTGAACAGAATCTGAAGTAAACGCAGGACTTTCATGAAAAGAGTTCTTGATTCTGATCGGCTGGCAGCGGTACACACAAACATGACTCAGGTACGTAGAGTTATAGAAGAGTTCACCAGTGTGAAGGGTTTGAAGGTGGCAGGTTTTTGACGTTTTGTCACAGAAAACAAAGAAAAAGCTTTGAATGAATAAAAAATCAGATCTTCTTTATAGCTTCTCACTGTGAATAAAACAGTTGTTTTAACCTTTCATTTGTATCCACTATTGGACTCAGAGCAATATTTAGCATGTGTTTTCCTTTGTGAACATTACTCTGTCTACCAAACAAGGTGTTGGAAATAGATTGGTCACCTTGCTTTGTGTAGCCACGAGCATTTTAAGTCACCAAAAGCTATTTTCGAATTTATACCTCCAACATAAAGAAATCTGAGACACTATTCCTGAACAAACCTAATTTAGTATAGCTGGTTATTAATGGGTTAACGTTGGTACAACACTAACAATGAGTTCCCCCTGCTGTACAATGACCACACTGCATGAAAAGAAGACACAAAAAAAACTTCCATCACACATCTTTAATAAAAATGTGAGCTGCTGTTACAGAGAGGCAGACATATTTTGCATTGTTGTTGATATAAAAACATTCAGTGGAATATTACAGTTTAAATGTTCATGTTACCATCACAAATGTTTGTATTATAGGTCAATATTTTATGCAGATATGAGCAGGAAGTGAAGCTCTGAGCTGCACGTGCTGATTGCTTGGGCAGCACATGATGTGGGTTTTATAGACAATTTTAATCTCGGGTCCTTTTGTAACAGTGACGGTGTTCACACAAACATTATGGGCTCACAGACTTTACGTATGACAGGTGCTCTATAAATAACGCTGAGATGAGTTGTGGCTCGTGGGTCAGGGTGAGAAAAGATGTAGTCAAAGATGTGAATATTAAATATAGAAAGACACTGAAACAAACTGTGCACAGTGTTATTTGACTTGTGATATCTTCATTCACATTCACCAACATGTGAATTAAATATGTGAAACCTGTCAAACAGGAAGTGCTGCCATTTTCTTTGATCCGCTCATTTCAAAACATTTCTATGGATTGGATTCTTTAAGCTGATTAAAAATGTTTTCATTGGTTTGCACAACATGCACTGAATATAAGTGGATCATCATTACAAGTAATGAACAAGGTGCACTGTAACACATGGAAGACAGCAGCTGAGTAGCTGAATGAAGCATTATGGGATGCTCTTCATTTCTGGCAAACAAAAAACAAGACTTTGGAGAAAATGTCTGTCTTTGTCGTTCATCCCGTCGTATCCTTTATTTCAGTATCTCCATCTCGATTTGAGTGCATGGGAGGTGCCATTGTTTACCTGTGGGTTTACC